CATGTCTTGTTCTCCCCACCTCTCTTCGCTCCTCAAATCAACCTTCAGTATATATATTGTCACTGTCTACATGGATCCTTTTCAAAAAGCACCTGTTTCTGTTACTTGCTTCCCAGTGTTTTTGTTCTTCCTTTCTTTGCTCCTGCATCTCTCCTTGGCTTTATGTTCTAGTTAGTGTGTTTTTAAATCTGTAGACTTCAGTTTCCCTTTGTACTCATGTTAGTCAGCCTGTGGTGTTTTTGCATTGTACATGTACAATGACAATGAAGGTATATTCTATTCTATTCTATTCTATTCTATTGAACTATTCTACTAAATGAATGACTTACTTTAAGTTTCAATCAATCTGTCTCCAAGCGTCTGCGTTTTGGTCCTTCACAACTTACAATCTGCACATCCTGCAGATTCTGACACACAGATGAATTACTACTTTCATTGTCAAATGTGCGTACTCATTGCATCTCCTGTACACAGTCTAAACATTTACTTCTCTCCCTCTCTCTTGCTTGTTCCATGCAGGTTTCTTCATCTTCCTGTGGTTTATGATGTCACTGAGAAAGGCTAAAACTGCAGTTACTAAGACAAGCGGTGAAACACGAAGCACCAGCACTTAGCTTACACACAACTACCAATACCCCGAGAAGTGCCTTTGTGTGTGCTGTTGGAATGTTTAATGTAATATTAACTTAGAAACATTGTTGTATACATGAGTTCAAGAAGAAATTGTATCAGATAAGATATCAGCTGACACTAAAAAAATGTATGTGAATGTATTAATTGTGAAGATTTTAACAGCTCAAATTTAGTTTGAAGTTTTCTTTTTATTGCAATAGACAGAGTTTTTATGGCAAGCTGTTTATCTTATTGTTAGAGGATAGATCACCTGTCTCTTTTTACACTCGCTTTCAGAGATCAGAGGCAAAACAACATAAAATTGCTATTTTGTCACATTTTCACCAGTCTGCACATTAGATCTTAGTTTCAAATGAATCTCACCTGGCATTAGTTTAGTATTTTAAGACGCTGTTATGTTGATTGATTGCACATACAGCATTTTGCTTTATTTTAATTGAACTGGTCTGAAAATTATTTTATATTAAAGCACATTGTGAATCACTAAAGGCTGTGGTGTTAGTAATAACAGTAATAGCTGTCTTATTACCTTCACCCTATGGACATTTACGAGTTACGGGCATTCTAAAGTGAAAATCTCAGTTTTGTTCAGTATCATTATCATATGGTAACTCATAGTTTAAATATCAAAAGTGTACTAATTTAATGTTTACAACACAGAATGTCAGAAAAAAACCAGCGGGACCCTGCATATAGGTAGAGAACCCTTTAAAAAGTGTATTTTGGGTAAACAGTGGTCATATCACTTCGTGGGACCGGTGGCTGCTCAGAGACACAACATGAAAGGTCTCTTCTTTACCCACACTTTGATAACGTACGGTTACTGTACAACCTTGGTTCTCTTAGTGAAAGACTATCTCTCCACACCATCACATATTCCATATGTACGGGGTACGACTCCCCTTGGTCGTGGCACAAGGATACTTACTTAAGACACTCCGGCACGCCCGGCTACACCCCACAGCTCATGTATAAAACAGCTGTGCAGACTTGACACCGGTAATAGTTTGATCAGAGGGCGTCTTCGAGCGGCCTGATGGTGGAGAGATAGTTTCTCGCTAAAAGAACCAAAGCTACACAGTAATCGTATGTTCTCTAGCATATCAAGACTATCTCTCCACACCGTTACATATGTACGGGGTAACTCTGTAAGACATCCCGCGATGAGACAGTGCAACCGAACCGCCGAGAATGAAGGGTGCAATAAACTATTGACAAAGTACCCATAAGCAGACCACCCCGGTCAGGGATTTGCCAGACGCGAAGGCCAAGCAGGGGGATTGGAGGCAGCAGTCTGCAGACGCTAGACTGGCCCGAACTGGTTGTGCAGGATGCAGGACCTCAAGTGATCAGCCGCTCGAGGTCAGCCCGGGAACCACGAGGCAGACCACCAGGGAGCGCAGCACACCGGGCTGCCAAGTAGGATCCCGCTGGTCGCATAGGCCTACAACATGCAGGCAATGCCAGACAAAGAGTCGGCGCTACAGGCTGAAGAACTCTTACTCACCACAGCGAGTGTAAGCCAGCAAAGCGGGCAGCAGGCCAGGGGGGCACAGCCTATAGTAGCAGGTCAAGCAAGGGATGAGACCTGTCCATCCACAGAGCCGAAGCCGCCCAGTGCTGTTGACAGACAGGGAGGGGGCCTGCTGAAGTGGAGGGCTGAGCAAGGCAATGACTCAAAGGTCCACCCCCAGCACTGTCACTACGTGCTGTCCGCAGACAGATGAGCCTCAAGAGTGAACTCGAACAAGATACTCAAGCTCAGTCCCTAGAACAGGGCTGGCCCTTCTGATCAGCCTCGAACTCAGGAGGGGGATAATATTGTTTCCAATGCATTTCTGTTTAAGGGAAAGAAATTTCTATTATACATGGTGCTTGAGTTTTTTATGAGAGAGAAAACAAATATGCTCAAATGATAAGTTTTCACAATCTATTATTAACCGGTTAGACTGGTTCAAATTAGTTTGACATGGCACCATTGAGTATGTCAAATGTTCCCCACTGTGTACCCTTCCTTCTATTTCAGGCATCTTGTATTTAGTTCATTCATATGTCTGTGTTTTCTCTAGTTAGTTATCTCACTTTCTGTGTTATTTTAGAGTTTGTGTTCCTTGTTTGTTGTCTTGATTCTTCTTCCCTCGTCAAAGTAGATGCTTCTGTTCCTCCCTTCTCAGTGTTTTTTTTTTTTTTTTGCTCCTCCCTAGTCTTGCGTCTCTCTTCAGCTTCATGCTTTAGCTAGTGTGTGTTTTTAAATTCTAGATTTTTAGACTTCACTTTCCTTTTGTACTCACTCAAAAAATGACTCACTTTAGGTTTAACGCACTCTGTCTCCACATGCTTGTATTTTGGTCCTTCACAACCTACAATCTGCACATCCTGCAGATTCTGACACACGGATGAATTACTACTTTCATTTTCAAATGTGCGTACTCAATGCATCTCCTGTATACAGTCTAAACAGTTTTTTCTCTCGCTCTTTTTTGTGCCATGCAGGTTTCTTCATCTTCCTGTGGTTTATGATGTCACTGAAAAAGGCTAAAACCGCAGTTACCAAGACAAGCAATGAAACACGAAGCACCAGCACCTAGTTTACACACAACTATGTGCTTCTGACATATTTTTTGTCCTTGCCTCAGTTCAATATCTCAATATAGGGTGGAGAGCCACCCTATCCCTAACATCACAACAACCCGCTACAAGTCCTCGTTCACTGCATCCATGAATCTTGTCTGTGGTCTTCCTCTTTTCCTCTTACCTGGCAGCTTCATATTCAGCCTCTTTTTTCCAATACAGTGGGGCAAAAAAGTATTTAGTCAGCCACCGATTGTGCAAGTTCCCCCACCTAAAATGATGACAGAGGTCAGTAATTTGCAACAGAGGTACACTTCAACTGTGAGAGACAGAATGTGGAAAAAAAAATCCATGAATTCACATGGTAGGATTTGTAAAGAATTTATTCGTAAATCAGGGTGGAAAATAAGTATTTGGTCAATAACAAAAATACAACTCAATACTTTGTAACATAACCTTTGTTGGCAATAACAGAGGTCAAACGTTTACTATAGGTCTTTACCAGGTTTGCACACACAGTAGCTGGTATTTTGGCCCATTCCTCCATGCAGATCTTCTCGAGAGCAGTGATGTTTTGGGGCTGTCGCCGAGCAACACGGACTTTCAACTCCCGCCACAGATTTTCTATGGGGTTGAGGTCTGGAGACTGGCTAGGCCACTCCAGGACTTTCAAATGCTTCTTACGGAGCCACTCCTTTGTTGCCCGGGCGGTGTGTTTTGGATCATTGTCATGTTGGAAGACCCAGCCGCGTTTCATCTTCAAAGTTCTCACTGATGGAAGGAGGTTTTGGCTCAAAATCTCACGATACATGGCCCCATTCATTCTGTCCTTAACACGGATCAGTCGTCCTGTCCCCTTGGCAGAAAAACAGCCCCATAGCATGATGTTTCCACCCCCATGCTTCACAGTAGGTATGGTGTTCTTGGGATGCAACTCAGTATTCTTCTTCCTCCAAACACGACGAGTTGAGTTTATACCAAAAAGTTCTACTTTGGTTTCATCTGACCACATGACATTCTTCCAATCCTCTGCTGTATCATCCATGTGCTCTCTGGCAAACTTCAGACGGGCCTGGACATGCACTGGCTTCAGCAGCGGAACACGTCTGGCACTGCGGGATTTGATTCCCTGCCGTTGTAGTGTGTTACTGATGGTGACCTTTGTTACTTTGGTCCCAGCTCTCTGCAGGTCATTCACCAGGTCCCCCCGTGTGGTTCTGGGATCTTTGCTCACCGTTCTTATGATCATTTCAAACCAGACACATTAACATCAGACATGGACTTTCAAAGTAAAACAGGAAACATAACACAGACTCACAGGCAGGCACTATAACAAAGGGAACAGAGACGTAGGACCAGGGCAGACACAGACACTGACTGGATGTGGGGATACAGCAGACAGGGGAGACAGCAACATGGAACACAGACAGAAAACCAGAACACTAAAACTCTAACCAAACCCCACCCAGAGAACCTAAACTAAGAATAATCCTAAAACCCATAAAGCAAAGCTAGAATATAATGAAATAACAAAATCAAAGAACCAAAAACACAAAACACTGGGTCAACGACCCAGGGACCCTAACAGAAAAGAATGTGTTTTAGTGCTGAAAATGTGAACAGTGTTCAGTATTATATTTTAATAACGTCATCCTGTATTTGCTGCATGCTCAGTAGTGACAAGGAAGCGAAGACGTGTATTTTTAGCTTTCCAACAAGTTGATACTTCCTCTTTCTTACTTAGAATGTCATTTACATTTGTTTCATCAACTTCCTTTACACCTCTTCCTATTCAGCTCTTTTCCCCCCCTGCTGTCACTTCTGCTGTGTTCTCTGTCCTGATGAACTGATTTCCACAGCAACATGCAAAGGTAGGCTACGCTTTGGTTCACTTTAAAGTACATTATACTTTTTGTGTTGATGCTAATAACAAGGATTAAAAAAAATATACATTTTATTTCAATGTATTTATTAGGATTATTGGTAGTATTACTAATAGTAGAAGTAGGAGGAGAAGAAGTTGTATAAGTTTTATTTCTTAATCTTTGTTTTTTTTTAAATAAGTTGGTGCAGTCTCTAAAGCTGGACATCTTTTTATAGAAAACATCTTGTGGAGTAGCACTTTGACTGATGAGTCTTCAGGGTGATGGTGTGAGAGCTTTGGTGGCTGTCTCAATATCTCTACATTGACTAAAGGTCTTACTTTGTCAAATAGACCACAATGATAATTTAACTTTAAATATCTTTGTAGTATTTGAATTTCAAATTGTTTAACAGTATAACATTAAATCGATTAGTGTGCTACAGTACAATGTAAGACGCTATGACATGGAACCAATACCATCTCACATGTGTCCAGTTAGAGGAATTTGAACATCTGAACCTGTTACTCATTTACAATCAGTTTGCTGAATGGTTATAAACAGTGTTGATACTGATAACCTGTAATAAGTTCTGGTCTGTTACATTACCACTGCATTCATTACTCATGCTGCATTCCAATCTGAACAGTAATAGGTGGTTTGCCCCTGTCTGTATGGGATGGCCATACATCAAAGGAACATTGACTTTCAGTTTGAAACATGAGCGAGGGCAGTTTCCAATGGTTTGATGACCCCTCCATCCACCGAGACCTCCTCTTGTGGTGCAGTTATATGGTTATATGGCTCAGTACCAACTTAAATCCCTTTATCCAATCATACATTCTGTGAGACAGTAAAAAATAACATTTTTCACTCCCCGTACTGTACAATCAAATTACCGTTTTTAATCAATTAGAAACCTTAAATGCGGTGGGAATGATTTTCTGTCTACCTTCATCATAATGGCAACAAAATAAAAAAAGACAAATAACATAATGCTTGAATAGCTTTGTAAAATAATTCTAATCTAAATGAATCAACTAATTTTAATCTGAAAGGAACTTTGACAACATTTGACGGAAAAGCATAGATTTTATTTTTCATTCTAAATGTGAGTCTCTTCACAGGAAGAAGAGCTGGATATTCTGGTGGCTGATGTCTTTTGTATCTTATGAAATGCTTTATGAGAATTGGGTGTCAGGACAGGGTTCCTGTGAGACTATATGCAATATAACATCTAACATAGGTAAGTTGTTAACTGCTGTAATAAAATAATTACTTAAATCTGGGGACAGCAGACAATTTAGATTCTAACCCAAGAAACAAGGGGTGAGAGTTATTTACTTTTTCCTTTTGCCTTTTATGAGTTTATATAAACTCGGCTTGTTTTCTGTCAGTCTTTTAGCTACATGTGTCTATTTCTCTCCTACTCCTACTCCTCCTCTTCTATTCTACCACAGCCCTAAAATGTCAGACATAAAATGTTATGTCCCTTTAAATCACTTTACTATACTTTAGAAGAAAGGATTCAATCCTCATTTAAATGTTCTTTAAATTTCTTTAAGTTTAAATTTCTTTAAGTGTTTTAGTTTAATAAATAAACTAAAACACTTTCAAATCACATGAGCCAATATTTTATTCAGAACAGAACAGAAATAATACAACAGAAGTTTAAAATGAGACATTTTTCAATTTTAAGCACAAAATTAGCTCATTTTAAATTTGATGCTTGCTACAGGACATGTTTACAATAGTGTAGCATCTGCTCTTCTTTTCAAAACATTTTGAAGACGTCTGGGCATCAAGGTTTTGAGTTTCTAGGGTTTTGGTGTGGGAATTTGTTTGATGTAGTTTTCATTTAATGATGCACCAAATGTTCTCTATAGGTGAAAGATTTGGAAAGCAAGCATAGCAATTCAGCACCCAGACTCTTCTCCGATGAAGCAATGCTGTTGTAATAGTGGCAGTATGTGGTTTTGCAATTTCCTGCTGAAATACAAAAGGCCTTCCCTGAAACAGATGTACTCTGGAAGGGATCATAAGTTGCTCTAAAACCTTTATGTATTTTATTTTATGAATCTTTTTATGAGGATTTTGTTTATATACAGAAAAAAGAACATATTGCAGATGACAGTTCCTTTCAACATTCAATGTTTCTTCCAAAACACGCAAGTTGCCCATATTGAATGCATTTCTTCCAACACATATCATCAAAGATGCTGACTTTTGAATTGAAAGCTGATAACACGCTGGAATGTCTCCCACTCTTTAGCCTGGAGGATGAGACGTCTGTGATTACCAACTAGGATGTCAAATCTGGACTCGTCTGGCCATAGAAAATGTTTCCATTTTGAAACAGTACATTTCACAGATATGACGCCGCCTCTCGATCATGTTCAAACATGGCTTCCTTTTTGCATGACAGAGCTTTAGTTAGTATCTGCAGATATCATATCAGATTGTGCTCATCGACAGTGGTTTCCTGGGCCCCTTAGTAATGTCAGTGACACAATCATGCCGATGAATGATGCAGTGTTGTCTGAGGGCCCGAAGACCATGGGCATTTAATAAAAATTTTCAGCCTTGTCCTTTATGCAGAGAGACTGTAGCACCTTCAGTGTAAATGGTTACAGACGCATCTCCAGTTTCTCTGAATCTTTTGATGATGTCATGCATTGCAGATGATGATGTTGAGGAACATTTGAAGTATTCCACAATCTTTTAAGGTACTGTTTCACAGATTGAAGAGCCGCTGCCCATCTTTTCTTCTGAGAGACTCTGGCTCTGTAAGACATCCCTTTTATAGCTTATCGTGTTACTTGCTGTTCTCCCAGCTGAAACGTTTTGATCTTTCTTGCTATTTCAGCAATTGTTTGTGACCTGTATCAAGCATCAAGTTTGAAATGTAAAATTTCTCAGTTCAGACATTTATTATTTATGTTTTGTTGTAAATAAAATACTAGCTTGCGTGATTTGAAAGTCTTTTGGTTCTCATCTTTGTCAAAATTTAACGAACATCCCTACTTTTCTGGAATTCATGTTTTATATACTATAACTTGTTTTGAACAGCCATTTTTTTAATTGTACAAGGGTAAAATGTGTGTTCTTACATTCTCTCTACAGGTCGTAATCATACAGAGTGTTGTATGGATTATACAGACAAGGTTTTGAGAACTGGAAACCGCACTGACGCTATGACGTAAACATTTTAATTATTACACAAAATTTTCAGTATTTAAAACAAGATTTCAAATTTGTGTGGTTTTTTGTGTTTATTAATTATTTTGAAAAAAAATTACATTAATTTAAGGATGTAAATCATTAATATTGTTAATATTTTCCTATCCTCCTTCCCAAGAGCCATTAGGACTCTAGAAAGTGTTCTAGAGAGAACAGAGGTGAATGTGAGCATGCAAGTGTGTGTCAAAACTTTTGTGGCGCTTCTGCACAAACCCAATGATACCTTTGGAGGCCTTAAAATTTATGCTGATGACACACAGGTAAAAAAAAAAGAACATCACATGATCCTATTGAACAATGGTTTGTAGTCAGACTCAAAGTGTAGCCAGAAATACCTACCAACTACTGAGCTGATATTTGGATCCAATTTTGAGGTTGGGTCAGATATTGGTTAGGACCTGCTTTTTTAAGGTCTGATACATTGTAATAAGTCTAATGTTCTGTTCAAGGTAATTATGGGGAACTTAATTACATCGAACAGGTAATTAACTCTTTGTAAAAAAGGAAATAATGGAAATAAACGTCAAACTAGGAAAGCTTTTATTAAATTTATGACAACGTCTTGGCATTTCCTTGAGTGTTTTACTCCATTTCTATTTGTCAGCTCAAATCTGTGTGCAAGGAAGTGAAGAAAAATTCAGCCCACTTTTCTTTACACATTGTTTATTTCACTGAAGTCTGTGGGCATTAGTTTATGTGCAGATTAAGGTCTGGATAGTTATCAACATTATATTTTTATATTATAATTATTATATTTCTTATAAAATATTATATTTTACATTTTATTATACTTTTTGTGAAAAAGTTGGGAAAGTGAACTTTTAAATTCAGTTCACTTTCCAAACAGCAACACCATGACATCAATGTATTTTATTTACAATGTCAGTAGCAAGGGTTGCATTATGTTACTGCTATTCACATGCAGTTTTTTTCTTTCTGTTCTTGGCATGTTGATGCTGATACAGGTAACACCAGATGTGCCTCTTCTCAACAGTAAAGTCCTTGTCCAGCTGCCAAGAGAACTGGATGCTGGACCGAATAACAAGATTGTGTTCTGCATGTTTAAATGGCCTAAAATGAACGAGGTCATAAACTACATTTTCTTATATAACAATATGTAGGAAAAGGATTTGGTGAGCTATAGAACAATAGGATTTTTTGCCAATTTTGTATTTACACATTAAATTTAAACTACCGCGAGGTTTTGCTTGTTTTAGTCTAATGAAATAACATTTGGATTTCAGGTTATATTTTTTTCTTATTTTTACCACTTGTTAGGAAATATGTATTTCTAGCTAATTTAGTAATTCTTTAGTGTTTTTGGTGATTTTAGTCTTTAGGTTTTGTTACTGTGCCTCCTTTGTCTCCCTTGTGTGTGTCTAGTCATCCTTGTTTCTATTTTTGTGTATTTCCTGGTTTATTTTGACAGTCCTGTGTCCCGGGTTAGAGTATTCTGTTTTGCTTCCTCCCCGTCTTGTTTGTCAGATTAGGTTCAACTGTTTCTCCCTTCTGTTATGTATTCCCTTTTTAGCCTCTGTATTTATTGTGTGTTGACCTTTTATTGATTAATAAAATGTAAATTAGTACACATATTTTTGAAGGAAGCTGGGTACACAAGGAAAGAAAAATCTCATTTTTAACTAAATGTAAATTATTTGAATATCAAATAGTGCATCTAGATCATTGAGTAGTGTGTTTTTCCCCCCCGAAACTAATATTAAAACTGTCTTTGCAAAATTGTTAAACCAGCTGACAAATTTGCATTTTATTGTAGAGCATTTTTGAAAGCCCACATGAAGTATATGATCAAAGACTGGTTGGTCTGAGTGTGCAGAACAAGGAGATATCAGGACTGCAGGAGCGCATCAACATCACGATGGAGTTTACCAAGAAAATCGACGTAACTATGCTTTTTTTGATCATTTATTTCATTTCTACCTCTTGTTACTTTATTGCATAATTAATTGATACATATAATATGCTGTACATTTTGTACAAACATGAAATATGTTTGTGTCATAGGAAACTCAAAAACCCTCGTGTCATTTCCTTAATTATTCAACATGCAGTAAGTAACAAGCATCACATCTGTCATGAACAGTAATGTACACTGCTCAAAAAATAAGTAAAGGAACACTTTTTAATCAGAGTACAGCATCAAGTCAGTTAAACCTATGGGCTATAGGTGTGGTCAGCTAAGTAGCAGAGGGGGTAGATAATTTGGCGTTAATAAAATTAATACCAGGTGTACTAGATGGATAATAATGAGACAAACTCCCAAAAAAGAATGGTTTTACAGTTGGTGGACACCGATATCTTTCCATCTTCATCTATTCTGTTTTTTCACTAGTTTTGCATTTGACTGGGATCATTCTCATTACTGTTAACATGAGGACATACATGAACCCTACAAAGGTTGCAGAGGCAGTCAAACTCCTTCAAGATGGCGCATCAAGACATGTCATTGCCAGAAAATCTGCTATGTCTCCCATCACACTTTGCAAGAGCATAGAAGAGATTCTAGGAGGCAGGAGGTTACTTTAAGAGAGCTGGACAAGACTGTTAAAGGTCCTTAATCCATAAGTACCACATGTGCCCTTTGTGTAAGGAAGAACAGGAAGAGCACAGATAGAGGCCTACAAAACGACTTCCAGCAGACCCGACATCCTCAAGTAGGCTCATTGATGCCTTTGTCCAAATCTGGGAGGAGATCGCCAGGGACACCATCCAGTCTCATTAGGAGCATGCCCCAGCTTTGTCAGGCAAGCACAGAAGCATGTGGGGGACATATGAACTACCAGTGATGGGAATAACGGCGTTACAAGTAACGGCGTTACTAACGGCGTTACTTTTTTCAGTAACGAGTAATCAAACTAATTACTATTCCTATCGTTACAATGCTGTTACAGTTACTAACAAGAAAATGCGGTCCGTTACTATTTTTCAACAAACAGACGGTTGAAGCTGTGTTCAGCTTACCACATCTTGTATCAGTTGCATGGAAGTAGCTGACTACATAAGTAATCTGGACGCTACAGCTTTAAGCAGCTGCGCGCGCTCCCGCGGACGGTGATCACGATCACTGTCTAGCACAACACCTGGAGCTAAGGGGGCAAAACAATCGCATGAGTGCTGCTGTTTGACTGAGGAAGAGTAAAGTAGCTGTGGTAAGCCAATCACATGACCACTTAAAGACAAAGCAACAAGGTGATTCATACCAGTTTATAAATTGCGTTGATAGGCCACATAAAACCAGAGTCATGATAAACAATAGATACGCGGTGTTTTTCCTCAATAGTTTCGCAGCGAGACCTCTGAGCAACCCCCCCCCCCAAAAAAAAAAAAAAAAAACAGGATAAGTTTTAGGAGTGACAGTGAGAGAGAGAGTAAGACAGCAGAAAAAGAGGGAGAGAGAGTTTTGAGATGTGAGAGAATTGTGACGTTTAGCGTCTTTGGAGTGTGTAGTTAATATGTTGTCTTGTGTAGTTAGTGTGTAGTGATGTGGATAGTTTTGTGTTGTGTGTCAGAACAATGAGGCGACTGCTGTCTCCAAATAGAAAAAGGAGTGATACACCTGCTGCTGTCAGGCCTGCAGGTATCAGGCTGTGATGTTCTCCTTTATAGTGGACATAAATTGTGTTTTTGGAGTGGAACAAATAACTTGTGTGGCATCTTATTGAATGCAGAACAGCTGGTTGTTCTGTAATTGAAATGGTTATTTAAAAAAAATCAAGGTAAAAGGTAAATTGATGAATTTGTTGTTTGCAAAACTTTTGCATAGGATTTTAAAATTGATCATTTATATTTGCATTTAAAGTTCTGAAATATGATTCATTAAACATGTTTGTGGTTGTTAAAATATAACTTTTTCTACTCTGATTTTACATTTTTTGTCTGATTTTAGATCAATTGTGTTAATACAGTATGTCAAAATGAAAAGATAACTGTAAATTCAGACACGTGAGGTTGTGCTTAAAAGGATGATACCAAACAAGGCAAAGTAAATCATTTTTAAAGGTGAAATGTGGAGGGAAAATCAAAAGTAGTTTGAGTAGTTAAAAATGTTAACTAACTAACAGTTACTAACTTTTTTGGAGAAGTAACTAGTAACTATAATTAATTACTTTTTCAAAGTAACTTCCCCAACACTGCGAACTACTGAGTACCATTTTGAATTGGTATTCAACCCACTGTAGGTTTATATTTCCCTTTCTATCAAAAAATGTGGGATCTGTTCATTCTTAACACATTACCCAGTTGATATCATTATAGATAACCAGCGTGATTCTTTTCCCCCTCAAAATCTGATGTGTTTTTAAAGTGTTCCTTTAATCTTTTTCTGAGCAGCAAGACACCTATTTCTTTCATAAGTTGGACTCATTGGGGTTTGTGTTTTCACTCAGGGCCCCGACACTGAGTTGATGTTCAGAAATTTAATCTTTTGCATAATGGATCTGTTTGTTTTGTTTACCAGATTTTAGTGAGGATGGCTGCCTCACACACTGGACACGTGGTCAGACTAACATCACCTGTTCCTGTAACCACCTCACATACTTTGGCGTCCTCATAGTAAGATTGGACTCATTCATTATATAAAGAGGGATTCAGTGAACTGCAAAACAAAGTATAAATACAACATCTTGTAAAGAATTTGAGAGCTCTCTTGTCCTTCTGTCTGTCCATCTCTTCTCACCTATGTCACCAAACATTTATCTGAACTGCTTCAAACTTTGCAGCTGAATTTCTTGGGTCTCAAGTTAATGTGTTACTGAGTTGATGTTCATCAGATGAGTGGTTCTCATATAAGTCTGTTAAAAAAAAAGAAGAAGCCATTCTCCGTCAATTGGTTTTCCCCATGTATTTCTGGCACAGCATGCTTGGGAGGGGCACATTAACATATAGACATGTTTGTTTGGCTAGCTTCACAAGGACATGCCAGACCATTAATCAATCTACCTTAATTTTACCTCAAACCTTCAAACAGGCTTGTCAAGTGATGTGGGGCAAAAGACAGCAAGCTTAAAAAAAACCCCAGCAAAATTTAGTCATAGTGGTGACTGAAAGACGCACAGCTTCTCAGAAAGATAAGCGTTTTAGATTTCTTCTTTAGATCTTCGGTTTCCTCAGTTTCCTTTATCAGAATTGGTGATGAAGTATTAATAAACCCATAAACTTGCACAGCTACACACACATACAAACACCCACCCACACACACACCCACACACACAACAATTCAGGAAATCCGCATGTGATATAAATTTATAAATTAAAGTGACTAAAACATGGGTAACTGTGCGCTCATTGTATTAGTACAACTAATGAAAGAAAAAGCCAAAAGCATCTTTTATATGTTAGCAAATCTCTTTATCCGGTGTGTGAAAGTAAACAATGTAGTTTGCTCTCTGCATGCAAAGAAAAGAAACATTTTGCCATGTTACTGCACATGTATGTAATAAATGTGCAGTTTATATAACCTACACATTCATTGAATGTAAAAATTATGCATGAAAATACAGTAACAAATATGATTTGTTATAAATGTAGATACGTTAGTTGTGCATTTCCTTCTTTTCTTCTTTTCAGTTTGGTTTCATTTTTGATGGTGCCACCAGATGACACCAAACTGAAATGATTTCTTGTACAGAATGTGTTCTCCCTTCACCTGCTCTGCTCAACTTGTTTTCAATCAAATTACTATCCTGCCCTGGTCAGAGCATGGCAATGTTACATGCAACTGCTAAGGGCACAGTCTGGCTTGCGGCATAGCCCATCATTGCACCTTTATTCCTCTGACCGCACTTGAAAACACTGCAGCCAAAACTATCCACACTCACACAGAGAAAGTGTTTGCACTGTAATCACACACACAGGAAGTGTGCAGTGCTGTCTGTTATTGCATGCCGTTCCTGTATTGCTGCTATGTTGTATTGCTTTTCATGTTAATTGTTTGTGTGTGTTGCTCGTGCTTGCTTACCTATCGTTTGCCTCCGTTTGCCTCTGTTGTTATGATTGTATGTAGCATATTTATTTAATGCTTTATTTTATTTTTCAGATGTATTCAGCTGTTCTTTTAACTTTCTTTTTAGCCCTGCCCCCATTGTCTTCAAGGGACTTGTACCATTAGGAATAACAAGCATACTTATTAACTTAATGGGTTAAAGTTAAAGTTACAGTGTAAAAATAATAAGTAAGAAAGTATTTGCTTCTGGAATGTGACTAATTGTTATAATTAGGGTTGCACCGATACCCATACCGGTATCGGGTATCGGCCTCGATACCCCATTTTCTAAAGTACTCGTACTCGTTAAAAGTCCCCCGATATTGGGGACCGATACCACGGTCTGAGACCTGTCTATGTTTGAGCGGCATGTAAGGGGTTAATCACAGGCGCCGAGTAAATACCGAGTAAATACCTCTCAGCCCCATGTAGGAGTGTGGAAAGTGAAAGTCTTTGTAGCTCAGTGTCACACATTATAGATGAAAACAGAAACAGTCTGACTGAGATAATGCAGAAAAGCTACTTTTCTTAAAAAAAAAACTGCCACTCACTTATTCTCTCCATTAAGTGAGTTATCTTAGACATGATGTTAATACCTACCTCAGTTGCACTGACTGCCACAGTTCTATGTTGGTGGATGTTGTTAGTTTATTCAAATATTGTGCACTAAATAGCAAAGATGTTTATTAATGCCCCTTGTGTTGTCCAAAGCGGCAGAGTTTACAATAAACTGAAAACAATACTTGAGTTGCACTGTCACTGTTTAATTTTTTTTTCATAATTATTTATTCTGTAATATGCTGCATACAACATGCTTTTCATTTTAAATAAATGCTCTTAATTCCAAACCAGTCCCTTGTTTGTTTGTTTTTGTTTGTTTTGGTTTTTTTTGTTAAATTATAGGACTAAAGCTGTTACCTGTAAATTTAAATCATGTTTTTATTAAGTACTCTGTATCGGTATCGGCGAGTACTGAAATGCAAGTACTCGTACTCGTTTCCAAAAAGTGGTATCGGTGCATCCCTAGTTATAATACAAATAGTGAAAGATGATATAAACATGTGTTTTCTCCACAGATACCTGATCCTTCCATCACAAAGAAAGACCAAGAGATTTTAACACACATTACTGTGATCGGCTGTAGTATTTCCCTTTTTGCTTTGGTCATAGCCATTTTGCTCTTTATTACAAACAGGTAATAAATTCATTTTTCATATTCTTCCCATCTTCATCAGTTCTTCCACTCGTTTTTAGTACCTCCTGTAATCTCATTTGCTTCAGTTCCTGTCCTCTTTTTCTGAATCATCTCTTACAGCAAATGCTCTCTTTATTCTGTACTTATCACTTCATCTTTTCTTTCTTCTCTTTTTACGGCCTACTATTTCTCCAGTTGTGATACAGTATGTTTCTGTTTGACAGAAAACTCAGACAAGATGTCTCTATGAAGGTCCACATCAACCTTGTAATTGCTCTGATGCTCCTCAACCTGCACTTCCTGCCCAGTCAGGCAGCGGCAGCAGGGTCTTCCTCTGGACTTTGCTTATACATGGCTCTTTTACTTCATTATTCCCTGCTGGCCACTTTCAGCTGGATGGCCTTGGAAGGTTTCCACTTATATCTTCTCCTGGTCAAAGTCTTCAACATCTATGTCAAGAAATACCTGCTCAAACTCAGCGTGGTGGGATGGGGTGAGTGGAATAATTTTAATCAGGAACCTGTCATTATCAATCTGGAAATGGTATGGTGAATAATCTTTTTTTTTTTTTTGGCTCCAGGCGTCCCTGCAGTGATTGTGTCAGTGGTGGTGATCATAGACAGAAAGTTTTATGGTCAGGTTGCTCTGGAAACATCTAACTCTACAATGTAAGATTTGCTAGCATGTAAATTCAGGAATAGTAGTTTACATTTACTTATTTACTTATTAATTGTTTTACACATGGGTTTTTGTATACATGCATGTTCATTTTTTTAAGGGAGAATCAGAAAGCTTCCTTTCACCGAGCATCTAACTTGCTAAAATTGAAACATTATTTCCTTTGTAGCCCTGGGGATGCTTTTACTACATAGATCTGCATTAATGTGTCTTTTACAGAGCACATTGTTAATTTTTCAGTTTGTGAGGTTAAAACATGATCTGCTCTTTTTTTAATAGATGCTATATAACCAATTCCTACGTGAAAATATGGACTACAGTGGTACTGTTCAGCTTGGTGTTCCTTTTTAATGTAATCATGTTTGGGGTGACAATCAGACGTGTTTTGATTCTCCACCACACCAGAGAGGTAATTCTGTAGTCTTAAAAGAAATATTTAATCCATCAGTGTATCCATTTGAAACCCAAAACCAGCAATGAATGAAGTATTTTTTTTATGACAATTCAAGGTCTCAAACTTAAGATTGTGTGTAACCTGGTATGTCATTTTATATTTGGCAAATCAGTTTGGGCAGAATAACCTTGAGAAAGCAAAGAAAGACATTTGCTCCCTGGCTGGAGTCATGACTCTCCTCGGCATTACCTGGGGCCTGGTCTTTTTCTCATTTGGCCTCCTGACCACTCCTGTCCTCTACCTCTTCTGCATCTTGAACTCACTGCAAGGTCTGTAAACACACACAATCATAGCGGCAGAGTTGACAATGTGGATTGCGCCCACAGAAAAACTGTGATTAAAGTTTCTAGAAACTAGACATATTGCCATTTTCACAGTTTATTAATTCAACAAACAGGGTTCTCAGTCATATGTGCTAAATCTCGCTTTGTGGAAGTGCATGTTGGAGGATAGAGTTCTGGCCCAGACTGTGGAGATATGGGACTGCCACTGGTTGCAGAATCTCATCTCAATATCTCTGTTCCTTGACATGGATGAAACTGATGACAAGGCTTGCTTTTCTAGTAAGGGAGCTGCTGCCTCACAACATCACACTGATTCCACCAAACGCTGTCACCCATGGTGCAGCAATCAGCACATCATTCTCTGTGTTTGCTCCACACTTTCACTCCATGCCTTAGGCAGATTCAGGACACATTGCTGAACATAACATTCCTCTACATGATTACCGCCCAGTAGCACTCACCCCCCATCATCACTAAGTGCTTAGAGCGACTGGTCCTAGCACACTTCAAATCCTGTCTCCCCCCCACCCTGGACCCCCACCAATTCGCATACCGCCGGAACAGGAGCACAGAGGATGCAGTCTCCATCACAATGCACTCTGTCCTCTCACACGTGTACAACAACAACACCTACGCCAGAATGCTGTTTATAGACTTCAGTTCAGCGTTCAATACAATCCACCCCTCACAACTCATCAGGAAACTGACAGACCTGGGCATCAGTTCCCTCATCTGCAAATGGTTACTGGACTTCCTGACCAACCGCCCCCAACATGTCCGGCTGGATAACCGCTGCTCATCTACCATCACAATGAACACCGGTGTACCACAAGGCTGTGTGATGAGCCCTTTCCTCTACTCCCTCTTCACCCACGACTGCAGACCTGCTGATGGTTCCAACACCATCATTAAGTTTGCAGATGACACCACGGTGATTGGCCTCATCAGTGACAACGATGAGGCCGCCTACAGGGAGGAGGTGGATCGTCTGGCTGAGTGGTGCGACAGAAACAACCTGCTGCTTAACACCGAGAAGACCAAGGAGCTCATCGTGGACTACAGGAGGAATGCTGACCCACATCCACCCATCCACATTAAGGGGACGGCTGTGGAGCGTGTGAGCAGCTTCAAGTTCCTGGGAGTCCACATCTCCGAGGATCTCACCTGGACGACCAACTGCTCCAAGCTGGTCAAGAAGGCTCACCAGCGCCTCTTCTTCTTGAGGACTCTGAGGAAGAACCACCTGTCCTCAGACATCCTGGTGAACTTCTATCGCTGCACCATCGAGAGCATCCTGACCAACTGTATAACAGTCTGGTACGGGAACTGCTCTGCCTCAGACCGGAAGGCGTTGCAGAGGGTCGTGAAAACTGCCCAGCGCATCGCCGGAGCACCACTTCCTGCCATAAAAGACATCTACAGGAAGCGGTGTCTGAACAGGGCTGGGAAAATCATCAGAGACCCCAGTCACCCATCACATGGACTCTTCACCCTCCTGCCCTCTGGGAGGCGCCACAGGAGCCTCCGGACTAAGACCACCAGGTACCGGAACAGCTTCTTCCCCACAGCTGTCAGACTCCTGAACTCTGCCTCCTGACATCTGACCCACGTTAAACTCATGGACTGAACATACACACACCCACAATGGACAACTGTACCCTCAAACACAATAATAACATGGAGTGAACCACCACTCACAACCACTAGCACTTTATATAGCCTCTGTAGAAACTATCTACACCCTCACTTATCTTAACTGCACTACTGTATAGCTCTGTGTAAATAATCATTCTGTACATTCGATAATCTTTAATCCTACAACTGTTTACAACTTGCATAGTTCCCATTTCTGTATAGCTGTATATCCCAGATTCTGTAAAGTTATTTATTTCATATTCTGTATAGTTTTTCATATTTATATCCTGTTCATAGCCTGTACATAGCTTGTACTCACTACAGCCTGTACATACTTATAGTTATAGAATATTCACAACATACATCATACCGTGTACATTATAACATACCATAATAGACCCATTTCTGTAATATACTCACATATCTATATTATTGCTAATATATATTGTAATATATCTATATCACTAAAGCACTTCTGGATGGATGCAAACTGCATTTCGTTGCCCTGTACCTGTGCATGTGCAATGACAATAAAGTTGAATTCTATTCTATTCTATTCTATTCTATTCTATTCTATTCTATTCTATTCCAGTGCAGATGTTGCTGACACCAGCTTAAACAGGCTGGACTGTGAAGTTCAGTCATGTTAAGCCCTGTGAGTCTGGGATAGGCGGCTTTCAGCCTATTCAGGATTGTCTGAGGACAGAGTTGTCAGCCATATTGTCCTGCAAACTTTGCCTTGAAAGTCTGTCTGCAGTTCCCAAGTGCTGACAGAATGAGGACACAGTCTTTTCTGTGGTGTCGTCTTCTTTGGACGCCCACTTTGTTGGTATTGACAAGTTTTTTTATGGGTGGACACACATACTCAACTCTGCTGCTTAATACACAAATGCATTTTCCTTATAGATACCATTTAAGGGGAAGTAATAGTATAAGACTTGTGAAGTTTAGGGCGCACATAGCTCAGTAGGTAGAGTGGCCGCCCCCATGATCGGAAGGGCGGGGGTTCGAATCCACTGAGGTATGCTTGCTCAGAGGTATGCATTTGACCCATACCTCTGGGCAAGGTATGGGTCAAATGGAGAGAGAGTGCTTTCCCCATGGGAATCAATAAAATCCACATTATTGTTAAATGTCTGCCGTGTAATAATAGACTGTAAATGTGATGTTACTTTCCATTATAGGGGAGACATGAACTCTCTCTTCTGCCTAATGAGGACCAATGAACTATTTAAGATTTTTGTTAAAAATCTGTTTATGTTGACTAAAAGATAGGTAAGATTTCGTGTTGGATATGGATACACAGTGACTTGACAGAGATTTGACACAGATGCATTCTTAGAGCCAATTTCATGAACTCATCCTTTTCCCATCTAAACCTGAACATCTCTCTCTCTCTCTCTCTCTCTCTCTCTCTCCTTTGTGACTGCAGGTTTCTTCATCTTCCTTTGGTTTGTGATGTCACTGAGAAAGGCTAAAACCTCGGCTACTAAGATGAGCAGTGAAACACGCAGCACTAATAGCTAGTAGCAACACCTCCATAAGAGTCTGTGTGTGTTGGTATAATTCATATTGTGATACAGTGTCAACATGATCATTTCTTTTTTAAATCATGATGTTTATTTATAGAACAGCACAGCAGAAAAGGCAGCTGAGCAAGTGTGAACATTAATGTTATGTTTGAAGTTTTATTGATGAAATACATGGAGTAAAACATTTGTGGTAAGGAATTAATCTCTCGTAAGAGCAACTTAGAGGATGGTTTCCCTATGCATTGTAAGCTTTTCCACATTTGAGCAGTTTTCTGCCTAAAGTCAGTCATTTACATACATGCATTTATAGAATGTTTTATAATTATCTCAGTTATAATTTCTTATTATTTTAATGTATATTAAACAGCAAATTTGTATCTGAACATATATTCTTGCATACCTTGAGTGCCAGTATTAAAAGCATAATCATGTTACTGCATGCTTGTTTAGCCCTTGACAGGAAAACAATTATGGTTTACCGAGTTTATGACTAAAACTGTAGATATCAATCCACGTTAAACCAATCAGATCTGAAAAGTTCCAACTTGACTCCTTAAGAATCAACTGATATTTATTAATTTGTAGAATACAATTCTAACGTAATGCAATATGGTCAGAAAGATTTTTACGTTCATCAACTGATAAAATTTAGAGTTAAAGCCATCTAATGCCAAAATCTTGTTTTATTGTCAGTGGCTGGGTCTGTGACCCGGCATTCTCAGTTTATGTTTTTAATTTCTTTTGTTATATTTTGAGATAATGTTGAGTTCTAGGGTTATTATTAGTTTGCCTTGAGTTTTAGTCTAGGTTATGTTTCACCTAGTTCTTCTTTGTTAGTCAGTCATGTATTTCTTGTCTGCGTGTTTCATATCGTCAAACCTGTGTTATCATGTCTACGTCTCTCCATGTTTGGTTTTTTATTTTGACAGTCTTGTGTTTCCATGTTCAATGTATATGCTTATTTTTACTTTTGTCCTGTGGTGTCATTATGTTCATTCCAGTCAGCTGCTTCCCCATATGTGTATTTCCACCTCCTCTGATCACCTCCTGTGTGTATTTAGTCTGTTTTTTAATTCAGTCTTTGTCATGTCGTCTGTGTTCCTTCCTCCCATGTGACGTCAGGTTAAAGATTTCATGATTCTGTTCATGTCACTTTTTTAATAGTTAGTTTTCTCAGTCTAGGTTTCAGTTTAGCTTTTCCCTCGCTTTGCCTTTTTTTGTATTTCATGTTTAATCAGCCATAATAAACGGCGCTCCTTTTGTCTAAACTCAGGTCCGTCTCCTTCCATGTCTGCACTTGAGTCCCCCTTCTCACTTCCTCTTCTCACTTTGTCCAAAAGACAAAACTCCTAAACACAAACTTAACAATGTAGTGTATGCTGTACAGCAGGGGTGCTCAATACGTCGATCGCGACCGACCAGTCGATCGCAAAGGTAGTATTGGTAGATCGCATGGCATTAAAAAAAAATAGATGCCAGCCTATCATCCATCCCATCCCTTGATTGATACAGGGAAGCCAGTCAGATGACATCGGATTTTTTCTGACGCTTAGGTCGCTGCGCATGCGCAAACAGCGGCGCGAAGTGTAGTAAAACTGACAAGCTAGCCAGCGAGTTAACTCCAATTTTTAGCTCTCGGTTTTTTCTCTTAAACCTAAGAAAAAGTTAAAAATGAGTGAGGGAGCTGGACCAAGTAAGAAGACAAAAACGTATCACTTTCATACGGAATGGGAGGAGGACTTTTTTTCACAATGTCATTTTCGAAGTGCGTTTGCCTCATCTGCCAGGCTGCCATCGCAATGCCAAAGAAGGGAAATGTGGAGCGCCATTTTCGAACTGTTCACGGAAAATACGACACTACATTCCCGCCGAAAAGCGAGCTAAGAAAGAAAAAGGTGAAGGAACTAAAATCCCAGTTGTCCGGACAGCAGTCATTTTTCACACAACAAACTTCAAAAGCAAAAGCCGCCACCGAAGCATCGTTCCGGGTGAGTCACATCATCGTTAAAAACAAGAAGTCTTTTCAAGATGGAGAGATGGTAAAAGAGGCATTCGTTGAAGCAGCTGACTCATTGTTCCGAGACTTTAAAAATAAGGCAGAAATAACATCTTCGATCAAAGCTCTCCAGCTGTCAAGAAGTACAGTTACACGGCGCTGTGAAGCCATGGCGGAGGATTTAACCCAGCAACTTTGGAAGGACATCGGAGATTGCCAGTGTTTCTCACTGCAGTTGGACGAATCTACGGACGTGAGTGACACAGCCCAGGTGTGCATTTTCATTCGTATGGTGTTTACTGATATCACTGCAAAAGAAGAGCTATTAACAGTCCTGCCCATGAAAGAACAGACGCGAGGAGAGGACATATTTCAGTCGTTCAAAAACTTTATCGAGAAAACCCAGCTCCCAGTGTACAAATTGGTGTCTATTACCACAGATGGAGCACCCGCAATGGTTGGCCGCGTGAATGGATTTATTGCCAAGTGCAGGCAGGACGATGCTTTCCCGGACTTCCTAAATTACCATTGCATAATCCACCAACAAGCGTTATGCGCTAAATGCTCAACATGAAGGAGATCATGAATGTTGCAACGAAGATCGCCTGTTCTATTCGCGCCAGATCTCTTCAAAGACGGTTATTTCGTGCACATCTGGTAAAGGCTGACTGCGACCACTCTGAGTTGTTGCTACACACTGACGTGAGGTGGCTTAGTCGAGGGAAATTCCTGCAAAGATTTTGAGAGCTCTGTCCGGAGATTAAGGAGTTTTTCCGTGTAGCTGGACAAGCAGAATACATGCAACTTAATGACGGTCAGTGGCTGTTAGACTTGGCATTTTTAACCGATCTGACAAACATGTTGAATGACCTTAATCTACAGCTGCAAGGAAAAGACAAAACAGTGATCAACATGATCAGCTCAGTTAATGCTTTCAAACGAAAGATGCAACATCTCTCTTTAAAGCTGCAGCGCCATGATTTGATTAACTTTCAAAACCTGGCGTCAGAGCTGGAGATGCAAGGGATGGCCTGTTTGCAACTTGACAGTGCACGCTACACAGAGCAGATTGACAATTGTCTGTCAGAGTTTGACAAACGCTTTCAAGACTTTTCTTTGCTCGAGCCAGTCGCTACCTTCATGTGCTATCCTTTTCGGGAACATGCTGATGTCGATTCACTCGCATCAAAAATTGCAAAACTATTTCACCTGAACTCTTCTGGAGTGGAAGATGAGATTTTGACACTACAAGCCGACATTGAGCTGAAGTCCAGAGATCATGGACAGTTCTGGAACTTACTCACAGAAGTAAAGTACCCCAACATGAGGAAATGTGCTGCCTCTTTGACTGCATTATTCAGCTCCACTTATTTATGTGAGTCTTCATTTTCCCACATGAACATCATTAAGTCCAAGTACCGTTCCACCATGACTGATGAACATTTGGAAGTGTGTTTGAGGCTGGCCGTCAGCAGCTACTGTCCGGACTATGCATCCCTGGCTGATTCAATTCAGTGCAAGTCATCAGAGTAAACTCAGGTAATGACAAAAAATTTACATTGTTAATTGTGTTGTGAAATATTGGATATTGCGGTTATGCATGTATATACATTGTAGATATAAAGAATCCTCAATATATTTATAAATAAGTATATGTTTTGGATTTTTGTAGTGGGTAGATCATTTTGACTTGGTCATTTTATAAGTAGCTCACATGCGGAAAAAGTGTGAGCACCCCTGCTGTACAGTGTAGCGAGGAATGCCCAGGCCTCTACATTAGAGAGACCAAACAGCATAAATGTTTAACTATATACAAGTGTACACTCATACAATACACACATAAAACAATTTAAACCAAAACAACTGCAAGCACCCTATGGTTAAGACCCGATAAATGATAGTATAAGCTAAATGCTCAGCTTATATTATATCTGTGTGACAAATACCTTAACAGCGGCCTCCCATGGACGAACATGACAGAGCCTGCCTGAAACTAGGAGGAAAAACTGAAACGGGAGTGGCATTCAGGGAGGGAAACGTGGGTGTACGGGGCGCGGGAGCCAACCCTGATGCGCGGCCTGTGAAATGCTACCCAAGGGTACTCTGGGACACCCGGGGTCCGGAGCTGCCCCGACGGGGAGCACGAGGGTTAATACCTTACTCTTGCCTTAATCTATAAAAATGAGAACAAGGCTTCAATGTTCATGTTGTGCATTTTCCATTGTTATACCCCTCCGACTTGTCTTCTCCATGTGATGTTTGTGTAATGTATGTATGGTTGGAAGGGTAAGATGGCGCTGGCACGGCTGGCTGCCTTAACCCAATTTCCCTCGGGATGAATAAAGTATTATCAATTAATCAATCAATAGAACACAATGAGATAGTTCAATCACTGAGAGGAACATTTACTATATTCATGCAATTAATTGTTTTTAAAAAATTGTGTTAATTTTTGTATTGATGTATTTTTCTTAACTTCATCTGTAAAGGTGTTCCACTTAGGGCTGGGGATCAATTTTGATTCCTATAATCGATTTGATTCCGATTCACAAGGTCCCGATTAAATTCAATTCACTTTTGAATCAGACAGTCAGAAATATTATAATTCTAATCATTTATCAGTACATGTTCATATTTTTATATCTATGTATAAAAACAAAGCTGACACTTTGATTCAAAGTAACTGAGGATAAAACACAGAAAAACATGAAGGAGACCTCGCCTGGCTTTTTATAGATGCCAGTCAGGCTTGAAAAACACCATTTTCAAGCCTGACTGGCATCGTGTTCAGTAGCATGGATTGAATCCATCGCCATCTAAGTATATTTGGTAAGGACAACAATTTAAGGATGATAATATCAATCAATCAATCAGTCTTTATTTATAAAGCACTTTTCATACAAAAAATGTAGCACAAAGTGCTTTACATAGTTAAAAGCAGCCCACCCCACCCTCCAACTCACTCCCCACACTCTCATTAACATAAATGATAAATGATGTGAATACACACATATCCCCCCTCCCCCCCACACACACACAATAAATCAAATATATAGTACAAACAAGAAAAACTTAAATTGCATTGTTGTTCAGTGTAATTCTGTGACTTCAACCTTTAGCTAATGTATAATGTTTGACATTTTATATAAATGTGACTATAAAATATAGTCAATAATATTAAAAAGGTGCTGTTACTGAGTGAAACTTCCAAAGATTTCAGGTCTGGATTTAGCCCCAGTGCTATGCTGGACATAAGCAACTGTGTTAGTGTGACGCCCTGCATATTTAAAGGATTGGAATAAACTTCTGTTCTTACTGAATCTGTAACATTGCCTTGATCTGCCTACATCATTTTTTAAATAGTTTATGTTGTTAAATGAGTTTTGTGTCACTGTGCACAGAGAAAAACTCACCTGATGTAGTGGTAATGCGTTATTCACCACTAGATGGAGACAACCTGGCACAGGTATTTTCCCTACACACTAAATTTCACACTGAAAAGCATTGGTGGGAATTTTTGTTTACATAGTAAGCAAAAGAAAAAAATGTCTTGAGGTCTTTCCAGTGTTTTCAAAATGGTGTTTTTCAGATGCACGTCAAAATTTCATACAGACAAACGCACACACAAAACAACAAAATATGTCAAATTACATGCACGTCTCATTCATTTTTTGAGAATTTCACCACTTTTCGATTTCATGGAAAATAACTTGTGTTATTCATGACATGATATCATTTAAAATAACTTTGTCAGGCCAGTGAATAGCTGCCACATAAGTATAAATCTAAATCATGCAAGTGTAATATAGAAAAAAACACAAACAGTTTTGCTGTTTGTTCATAATAAATGGGTAGGGGTTAGTGAGTCTTGTGCAAAGAGCTCTTCCACTGATGTAGTAATGTCAAATTCTTCAAGCGTTACATCAATATCACTGTACATGCACAGAGCACCTGTAGATGTTTTTGTGCAAACACTCACAATTGTTTATGACGTGACTATTGCAGCATTAAGTATGCATTATAACTGTGCTGTCATGTGCAGCTATTAAAAAAAGTAGAAACTAATCAATATCCTTCACTCTAAATTGTTTTTTAAAACCCAATAAATGGGTTACAGTATCTACCCCGTTTTCGAGGAAGCCTCTCACTTACGGCCACATCAGCCTGTTCTCATCTGATCTCTGAAGCTAAGCAGCCCCCTGCAGGTCCTGCATAGTCGCGTCACCTTCACCTCGCTCCATGTTAGAAA